CTATGGTGTACAGCCACCGATGTACGGATGGAGCATGGGCGCTATCTGGGACTGGTGTTGACAGACAGTTCCGGCAGTGCTGCAGCGGGAGGATACAAGAAAGTGGATCCGTCGGTGACAAGTCTTTTTCATCAAAACTTTCACAACAAACACTGGAGTGTCTTTGAAGACTGTCGACTAATACTTGCTCGTTAACTCTTTCTGTCTATCTTAACCTATTCCAAGAAGCTGCGCTTAAACACAAATTGATACTTATGTCTGAAGGAGGTTTTCAGAGACACTTTGGGATAAAAGTTGCTAATTAATAAATTACGTAAAAATGTTAGAATAACATCTGCTTGTGATAGACTATGAGAGAATTATCGTGTTAACTTTGGCATGACGAGGAAACCTGTGGCGAGTTGCTCTGTGCAGAAAGAGTTAAAGCGCCAGGGAAAACAACTGATTCAGAGATGCTCCAGTTTGAATGAAGGAGACAGAGGTACTGGACCACACGTGGCAGTGCACTGGAACAATGGCTCATGCTGGTCAACACTGATCTACACCTTTCCTTGGTCGGTCTCCCACAGAAACTACGTCGAGAAAAATCTCTTAAACGGACATCTACGCCTTCTGCCATTTAGTAAACGTTTAATTTGTAACAAGACCAAATTTATTCACAAAATCCTATCTCAAAATACTGCAAATTAATTTACCGACTGATTCAATCTAATCCTACGAACAGCAAGCGACTGAGTTTATTTCATTTGCCTAAACCCAGAATTGATTTATTTAAAACAAATTTAACATTTTCTGCTGCTCATTTATGGAACCATTTTTCACCAAATCTGAAAACTACAAAGAGACCCTACACATTTAACTGCAGACTTTTTCCTTTCATGATTACCAGTGATTATATGCCACCTTAAATGTAATTAATAATCCATGTTGCATTACCAGTTGATCATTAAAAAAAGTGTGTGTGTGAGTATATGTGTGACACGTATGCATTTGTAGGCGTGTTTGTGTATGTATGAGTGTATGTACTTATGAGTGTGTGTATGGGTACAGCCAGTGAAGGGGAAGAATTCAGATTTTAGCATAGTTGTGGCGAAAAAAAAAGGAAAAATGAGGGGATGATTCCGGCATGTTTTCAACAAAACAACGGAGCCACACATAAGAACATTCATTTTTCAACCAAGGAAATAGCCATCCACCAATCAATCAGATATTTGTTCAACTACCTTGTCAACTAGTCAACTCTGAACTCGCCAGTAACCAACATTCAACAAAGAGCTAACCATCTATGCAAGCGACCAACGAAGAAACAAATATTATAGCATGATGTAGAGTTGCTTGATCGCCCACGCCAGTCGGTTGGTACTAGACGATGAGGATAATTACACCTCTCCAACATGTTCAATGCTCAGACAAACGTGGACTTTGAAAAACTCGTTACATGCTGATTGCCTGGAGCTGTCAATGAGCTGGTTAAATGCCGGCGGGGTAGATAACTCCGTGGCGCCACTATTCTTTGCTTCCCGTGAGGGCCGTGGCGCCTTACCAACCCTCCAGAACCTCTTTAGTAGGGCTTATCTGATGGAGACGGTCGAGAGCAACCAATTATAGACGCCATTCTAGAACTTACAAACAAATGAAACGTTTTAACCTGTAAACAAGTGAGACATGGTTGTAGTCACCGATTTTTTTCGCATTTATGTTTTGTTTGACCTTCTTGTTTCATTTTTGTTGTTGATAACCATTGTTGTCTCTTTTACTGATAAAGACTTATGTCAAAATTTTTGCTTGTATATGTGTCTGTAATTTTGATATGATCCGCATTAGGTTGATTTCGACAATGACCAGTTACTTACTGTAAGACGGAAAAGTCACACCAGAAACTGTCAACCGCTGTGGCTTGCTTGCAATGGCCTGTCAAGAATGGTCAGTTTGACTGTGTGACAACCCGACCTGTCACATGGATGTCCGTGACAACCCGACCTGTCACATGGATGTCTGTGACAACGCGACCTGTCACATGGATGTCCGTGACAACGCGACCTGTCACATGGATGTCCGTGACAACGCGACCTGTCACATGGATGTCCGTGACAACGCGACCTGTCACATGGATGTCCGTGACAACGCGACCTGTCACATGGATGTCTGTGACAACGCAACCTGTCACATGGATGTCCGTGACAACGCGACCTGTCACATGGATGTCCGTGACAACGCGACCTGTCACATGGATGTCCGTGACAACGCAACCTTTCACATGCATGTCCGTGTCAATGCAATTTTTCACATGGATGTCCGCGGCATTTTCGCTGACTTTATGCAAGGCATGCTTCATGACATTTGAATCCATGCAGTCATACAGTAGGAGTCTCGTTCGACAGACGTTTGCACCTAGATCTGTCATGTGGCTGGACTTTCAGACCCATTGTTAAACCTGAGTGTGTCATTGAGCAAGGTACTCGGCCAGTGGACTTCACTGATGTTCCACTTAAGTTGTCCATCTACGGTATCACTCATGCACAAAGAGTTCGCTGACCACAGCCATCAAATGTCTGGACACTGCATCTCTGGAGGTCAACAGTTCTGACATTCCCTGCCAGCTCGGTTTAGGCCAATATAGGTCATTTTCCCTAGCGGACGACGAGGACGTGTGGCAGGTGTTTTGCACGAGGGTCTACAAAACCAGACACAAAGTCTTCTGGCCCCCGAGGTGAAATAGGAAGTGTCTCCTTACACATCACAACGGCCTTGAACTTTCTATGACAGGGTAGCCATATTGGCATTTTTTATGCTACATCCCACAAATATGGCATATTTGAAACTAAGCTGGCATAAGATAATGAACTGGTATCTTTTGGTATATTTGGGTTTTTCCTGGTTTTTCCTATCAAGATATGCTCACATTTTCTTCATGGTTCATCTGTTAGAAACACGCAGATTTACTAAAAGCAATGTAGACCTACAGTTACCATCTTTATTTCAGTTTTACTTTGTTGTGATGTCCTGGTACATACTATTCGCGCCATTTCTTATTGTATTTGTTGTCTCCTAAACGGATCGTGACTTCGATAAACCAAAGCCCTCTATAATTTATGGTAATCTACAAGAATAAATGCGGGATTTAAACCAAAACCCACCACTGTTACCAAGTGATTCAGACTGTTCAGAAACTACTTGAGGACAGAAAATAGAGAGGATTTAGATCTGTTTCTATCTGTGATAGATTTTTTACTTTTACCAATGGCCAGCCACGTCACCCCCCCCCCCCCCCCCCCCCCCGCCTTTCCCCCCTCCCCCCAAATGGAAAGCATCTTATGACATCACAAGTTTAATAGCAACTGGGGGGAAAAAAAAACATGGCTCAAAAGATCTTCAGACAGATCAGAGGCCGCATATTGCAAACTGTGTCAGTGCACTGTTGCACCAAGAATTAGTAGCAGATCAAATCATGAAAATTCCACACACAAAACACAGGATGAAAACTATGTCAAAAAACCAGCCACAGCTAACTACAACAATGACTCCTTGGCAAAGTAATGATAAAGTTAAAGCAGCAGAGTTGAAACTTGCTGTAAACATGACCTGCCATCACGAGAGCGCATGGTCGGGATAGTGCACTGGAGCACATACAGTTCCATAGAACTAAATGTTCATGCCTAATAAAAAAAATATTATATCGCCTGCACTTAAGGATGACCTTATTTATAATTTTCGGAACCAGAAATATGCCATCATTATAGATGAGTTGCACATACGTCATCCCATCTGAAAAAATGCTTAAAGATTTTACATCCGAAAAGGTTTACGCTGTATCTTCCACTTAGTTAGTTAGTTAGTTATTCCTCTTGTGCCAAAGATGGCGCATAGGGCAGAGGTCATAGCTTTCCACGTCTGTCGGTTCGCTGCCACTTGATGTAGGTCTTGAGTGCGACTGAGACCTATGGTTGAGCTCTCTCTTGTGATGGTTCTACAGAGAGTTTCTTTTGGTCTTCCCTGTTTTCTTTTACCCTCTGGTGACCATGTGAAGGCTTGGTGGGGAAGTCTCTGAATGTTCATTCTGAGTACGTGACCGATGTAATTCCAGCGACGCATTCTAATAAAATCAGACACATATTTTTGTTTTGTTTCCTGTCTTATAGATGTATTGGACCTAAAGTCCGACCAGTGAACATTCAATAGCTTTCGGAGGCATCTATTCTCGAAAGCGACTAGTTTCTTATCGATTGATACTGATGATTTCCAACTCTCACAACCATAAGTTAGCACTGGGATCACACAGGAATTGAAGACCTTAAATTTCGTGTTGTTGCTGAGTGATCTTGACTTCCAAATGTTTGACAGTTTGTTAAAGGCACTTGATGCTAACGCGATTCGAGTCGTTATTTCTGATGTTGAATCTCCCGCAGAGGTTATCTTGCTCCCTAAGTATGTGAAGCTGGTGATTTTTTCAAGAACAATATCCTTTAGTTTGATGTCTTTCGACTCGTTGGTAAGATTGATGATTTTCGTTTTGGCTGCGTTGACCTGAAGGCCGATTTGGCTTGAAATATTCTGGAGGCGGTCCATTTTTTCCTGAGCTTCTAGATGTGTTGTGCTCAGGAGTGCTAGGTCGTCAGCAAAGTCAAGATCTTCGAGAACTTTGTCGACCCATTTGATGCCTAGATGTGTGTCCTGTGTGCATTTGCGCATGACCCAATCGAGTGCTATTCCGAAATGCATCGGTGACAAGACACATCCTTGTTTCACGCCTGTTTCTACTGGGAACCAATCAGAGTTACCAGATTCCGTTATCTTCCACTTGTTCCGTTAAAAATGACAGTGAAGAATTTAATCTAGAGCTTTTGCTGTGAAGTGAGGACAATGCTTTACGTATTTGGCATTTTCTGGCATATTTTGGGTAATGGTCTGGCATAAAATGAAGTTTCTTATCTAGCAACCCTGGTCTGTGACCGAAATCACCGTGCCATTGATCAGTTATTGGAAACAAAACATCGACTTACCTGGCAACTTCATCTCCAGATCGAAATTATTCGAGAAAAACCAGTGGCAGTTGTCGGTGGATCCGTCATTTAAAAAGCCACCTCTGCAATAAAGCCACATTCCACAATCGCAGTCTGAGCAGTCACAGAAGGTGGAGGCGTTCCCTTGGAAGGTCACCCAGTTGGGAGTTGCAAACGAGATGATGATGGCAACATTGGTGAAGAGAACAGCCGTGATGGCGACGACGATGACACAGTTAGCCATGTCTTTGCTATCTTTTGGGGGAGTTTAGACAAACACAGGCTTTTATCCTCGCGTGTTGCAACGATTAGTCATTGTGGGCTGTGGGGAACCATTCTCTTCCACAATTCTGCTAGTCAGTTCCCAAGTTCAAGGTCAATGAACTATTTAAATTGTTTTAAATAAGTCTACTGTAAAGATCTACATAGCATTTCATGTCTTTTCTGGGCTATTGTTGAATATTTCAACAGAACAGTGAATGTGTTTTGTTACCAGTACTGCAATGTTCATTAGAACAATGTAATTATTTAACTAGAAACGACTGTACAGTTCTATTAACAATCAACATCTTTTATTGGCAGTTACTATAAAGACAAATGTGAATCTACAACACAATAAACCTTCTTTTTAGTCCTTATTCTTTACTGTGATTTCAATAAAACAATTTAGAAAAATGACTAGCCATTACTGTAAAGCTCAATGCAACAATCTACATATAATACCAGCCACTAGAGTAAACTTGATTAGAACAATTTAGATATATTACTAGCCACTACTTCTTCTTCTTCTTCTTCTTCTTCTTCTTCTTCTTCTTCTTCTTCTTCTTTAGCATTCCGAGCCCTTGAGGTTCATTGCTGCAGATTTCACCCGCCTCCATTCATCTCTCTTGTTGGCCTTCTATTTCCAGTTAATGACACCAAGTAAAGCTCAATAGAACATTTGAGAAATATTTCTAGCCACTATTGTCAAGTTCAACAGAACAATGTGAACCTCTTCTTTTACCCGCTACTGTAAAGTTCTAGAGTACCGTAATCTCTCCCTCTCTCTCTCTCTCTCTCTCTCTCTCTCTCTCTCTCTCTCTCTCTCTCTCTCTCTCTCTCTCTCTCTCTCTCTCACTCTGTATTTGTGTGTGTGAGAGAGTGTGTGTGTGTGTGTGTGTGCGTGCGTGCGTGTGTGTGTGTGTGTGTGTGTGTGTGCGTGTGCGTGCGTGTGGAAGCCGTCTAAAAAGGAGGAACAAGGATCTTTCGTCTGCCTCAACACCCGAGCTGGTAAAAGAGAAATGGAAGAAAAGGCGTACTTGGTACTTATGTTAGTCGCCCCCACCCCACCCCCCTATTCTGTAGCTAGGTAAAGAGTTAAAGAATACACACATCACCCTAAGTTGTGCCAGTATTTGCGTGGCTGTAGCTAGGTAAAGAGTTAAAGAATACATACTTCACACTAAGTTGTGCCAGTATTTGCGTGGCTGTAGCTAGGTAAAGAGTTAAAGAATACATACTTCACACTAAGTTGTGCCAGTATTTGTGTGGCTGTAGCTAGGTAAAGAGTTAAAGAATACATACTTCACACTAAGTTGTGCCAGTATTTGTGTGGCTGTAGCTAGGTAAAGAGTTAAAGAATGCACACTGCAGCTACTACTCTGGTCACTTCCAAACATCAGGACTGTCCCTTAACTTTCTCCCAAAAATCACCAACTCAAGTTTATATTCCTAAAGTCTACTTCCCTCCTCAACCCACCCATTCCTCCTAGTATATTCAAATTTACTTCCATCCTCACAATCATCAGTCGTGTCTCTGTTACTTCCAACGTCACAATCATCAATCGTATCTCTGTTACTTCCAACGTCACAATCTTCAGTCGTGTCTCTGTTACTTCCGACGTCACAATTATCAATCGTGTCTCTGTTACTTCCAATGTGTGTCTTCAACAAGTTACGTAAATGAGGTTTTTTTTCTTCCATGCCTTGAATGGTTCTATACATATATTTTTTGTAGACTGACGGATTCTCCGCTGATCAGCCAATACCACACTGGCCTCGTTTTTTCCCCATGAGATTTTATAGAACGTGTTTTCAGGCCTGACAGATTTGGGATGTTTTCTAATCTGACTTAAATGCTGAGCTCGCTAACAAATACGTCGATCCGCTATATCGCGGACCAGGATAAGGAAAACATTTTTATGTTTTATTTAATGTTTTCTACCCCGCAAATGTAATTATCGTAATTAGCACAGACACACTAATGGTGTGAGATGAAAATTCCAGGCTATCGCACAGAAACACATTCAGTTGACCACAAAATAGTTTTCAACTTTCACATTTCAAACCAAGACTATAATTCCCCACGACAGTGCCAAGTTGAACGCTCTCACATCGACTGATCGTATCTGCACGAAACACTTGTGCTAGGCGCGCCGATCGCTCCAACTTCCCTCTGCTCGTACTTGTGTCATTTCCCTCAACTTTCGCTCGCTCAGTGTGTGACCTGCCTTGTTAGCCAAACTACCAGTGGAGTTTACTGTAATATATCTTAGTTTGCCCTCAAGAAAAGTCAGTTTGTGGTTAGCATACATTTCAGTTCCAATTCCGATGACACCAGTAGCGTCTGATTGTTTATCCGTCTCATCCTTCCCCTGAGTGTTGAGCGTCGGTCAGATCCCCTGGTAACTCCTCGCAGCGCCATTCTCCTCAGACCGTAATGATCTGTCTGCACATCCACAGTGTTCACTCGCTCCCAAAAGGCACTGTTCACTTGTTCCAAAAGGGCCTTCACATTATCTAGCTTGTCATACATAAATTCACCACCAAGCCGGCCAGTCTATCTTCCTGCTCATTTCCCAACACAGCGGCATGACGTGGAGAAAATATCCAAAGGATTCTAACTACCCGGGACCTCTGAAGTGATGCTTGCCATTCTGCACAAAACATACCCGTCTCCACCTTTCTCAACATGCTCTATGAGTCAGTTACAACCACGGCATGTGTGTACAGCTGATTCTCAAGCCAGCGGAAGGCAGTAGAGACTGCCTCCACCTCCATTCTCAAACTAGATGTTGTGACATCATATGCAAGGTTTCGCTGCACTAAGCGACGTCATTCGACTTTGCTGGGAACTCCCATGCACTTCGTCTGCCCCTCAACACAGAGCCATCTGTATAGATAATCTTCAAATCATCCTCTTAAATGCTCATTGTTTCCCCTGGTGGTTGTCTTCGAAGGCATTCAACTTTCGCTCTTTCCCTGATGTTTCTCCAACGTTTTAATATTGAAATGAAATTGGAATGCAAAAATACGTAGCTAGTGGAATGTAACAGGCTGTTGGAACACGTTAGCCTGTTAATAATTTAGGTTTGGCCACACTTGCGAACTAAAAATGGCAGGTTTGCAGATAGGGACTCTCCGGAAGTGATCAGTGGGTCTAAAAGGTGATAAACGGCCCGGCGCAGCAGAAACGGCTCTCTTTTCTCTGGCTTGTTGCCTTTTTGTCTGGCCAGTCGCCCTTGTGACATTGCGGAACTGCACAGGGTTCTCAACTCACCTTAGGTACAGCGGACCGAGTGGAGAGAGATGAATTGGTTTCGTGTTTGACGGTACGTTCAGTGTGTAGATTGTGTTGGATCTAGATGTGATTAGCACATGGTCTGTTCGAAGACGCTGTTGATTGTTAATGAATTGTTATCTGCGAAGCACACTTGCTTTGTGTTGAGGAAAATAGCCAGACGTTGAATGTGACTAATCAATTCCATTTGTTTGATTCAGAATAGGGTTTGTAATTAGTGAACAACCCGTGCTTCTTGTTTACTTTTCCTGTTTTTGCAGTTCAGCGAGAAATTACTTTTTGTCCAAACATTTATTTCCTTCTCTCTCTGTCTCTCTCTCTCTGTTTCTCTCTCTCTCTCTCTCTCTCTCTCACTCTCTCTCTCTCTGTCTCTCTCTCTCTCTCTCTCTCTCTCTCTCTCTCTCTTTGTGTGTTTACCGTTTTTCGCTTCGCTCTAGCTCAGAGAGGTAATAGAAGGGTTTTAATTATTATTTATAATTGTTGTTATTCCTATTATTACTGTAGTATAGCAAGCTGACCCGGTGTCTGCTCAAGCTGGTTGTGATATTGTTGCGTGGTATTAGGCTGGCCAACAACTGAAGCTGACAGGTTTTGTGTTTACAGTCAATGTGTGGATTAGGGAGATCCACACACAAAGCACACACAGTGAGAGGGTGGCATAAAGGGATAGAGATCCACACACAGTGAGAGGGTGGTATAAAGGGAGAGAGATCCACACACAGTGAGAGGGTGGCATAAAGGGAGAGAGATCCACACACAAAGCACACACAGTGAGAGGGTGGCATAAAGGGATGGAGATCCACACACAGTGAGAGGGTGGCATAAAGGGAGAGAGATCCACACACAGTGAGAGGGTGGCATAAAGGGAGAGAGATCCACACACAGTGAGAGGGTGGCATAAAGGGAGAGAGATCCACACACAGTGAGAGGGTGGCATAAAGGGAGAGAGATCCACACACAAAGCACACGCGTTGAGAGGGTTGCATAAAGTAAGAGAGATCCACACACAGTGAGAGAGTGGCAAAAGGGAGGGAGATCCACATACAGTTAGGGACTGTCATAAAGGGAGGGAGATCCACACACAGTGAAAGAGCCGCAAAAGGGAGGGAGATCTACACTCAGTGAGAGAGTGGCATGAAGGAAAGGAGATCCACACAAAGCACTAAAAGTGAGAGAGTGGCAAAAGGGAGGGAGATCTACACTCAGTGAGAGAGTGGCATAAAGTGAAGGAGATCCACACAAAGCACTAAGAGTGAGAGGTGGCATAAAGGAAAGGAGATCCACTCAAAGCAGACACAGCGAGAGGGTGGCAAAACGGGAGGAAGATCCACACACAAAGCATACACAGTGAGTGAGTGGCATAAAAAGAAGGAGATCTACACACAGTGAGAGAGTGGCAAAAGGGAGGGAGATCCACATACAGTTAGGGACTGTCATAAAGGAAGGGAGATCCACACACAAAGCACACACAGTGAGGGACTGGCATAAAGGGAGGGAGATCCACACACAAAGCACACACAGTGAGGGAAATAAAGGGAGGGAGATAGAGAGATGAAACCATAGTGGCTGACTGTGAGAGAGAGGGGGAAGAATCCGAGCAAGAAAGTGTGTGTAGGAATGTGTTCCTGTGTCTTGAGGGACTTTTATATAGACGGGAATTATGTATTAAACTTCTTTTTCTTTTT